GATTAAATATGATTTGCAAGTGTCTCTAAGTTAGCGTTATAACCACTTAGTAGAAAAAATATGTGTTTAGAATGGATCCTACAAAAAATAAATGTTTAGATTTTCAGAATGGATCGTAGTTGACCGAAAAAAATGAAAAAAATAATTGATCCTAGTTATTAACCAAAAAAAAAAGAAGATAAAGATTGACAATAAAAGACTACCGTCTAAAAAATAAAAATCAATCCAAACCAATGCACTTGAATCTTCATTGGATAACAAAATGATTCAAAAATTTCTATTACTCTGAACGAGAATATATCTCTCAAAAATATAAGGACAATACTGAATTTAGTTGAATTTAATAAAACTAATAAATAAAAAGTATGGCATACCTTTTTTGCATTTCACAAACAATTTCCTATTAATGGAAAATAAAATATAAGGGGTCGCACCTTGATTGTTAAAAATGGGAAAAAGACGTGGTCGGCAGGATTCGAACCTGCGCGGGCAAAGCCCACATGATTTCTAGTCATGCCCGATAACCACTCCGGCACGACCACTTGACTGTTGTACTATGAACTTTTAACTATAAGTAATCTCACTTTATCTAACTCCATTGACATTACATACCCACATCACATTATCATCATAACGTCTAATCTAATCCGCAAAAAAATTCTAAAATTCCAAAGTTTTTTCTCCTTTTCTAAAATTGAACCAACCATATTTCTCGTGTCAGCCTTATAATAGACCATGCACAAACTTAGGAATAAATATTTAATATATCAGTGATATAAAATCATCAATTTTCATTTCTTTTTTTTATTACATCGGAAAGTTGGATCTTCAATTTCGATGAAAGAAAATTATCGATCATTACTTGTAGCCTCATTGAGTATCAATCGGATCCATAGAAGCCCGTTAGTGGGCTTCAGAGAGACTCATCAAAGACATAGTAAAATAAAATAAAAAAAAAATTTAACGACAAATACGATGTATCTTTAAATTAATGTGTGCATAATATATTTTGAAGGAAATTTTAATCATACATGAGAGTGACAATTGAGAAAGTGTCGATAATTAATGGGAGAGACTGTCAAGAAGTATTGGTCTTCAATAAAACAGAGTCATGGACCTCATGGTCCAATTGAAGAAAGAGAGCGATGGTTAAGGGTGTGTTTGGATAGTGGTATAAAGTGGGTTAATATTTACATGGATAGGTTAGTTAGATAGTGGGTCCCACAAATTCTTTGTTTGGGAAGTAAAATTTGAATCCGGATATAAATCTCAGGTCTAGACATGACCCAATTGCTACAATGCTTTGTAACCCACCTATACCGATTAAAATTAATCCACCCCCTCCATGGGTTATAAACATAGCCTAGAGGTTAACAACAAATAATGACATTTTTACCATTTTCTCAACTGACTTCCACCCTTCACTTTCGTTCGAGCATTTTTAGTCAAAGCCAACTTCTGGGTTGAGAGCATCATGGAAAGCAACGAAGGCGATGAATCGACTAGGAGGTATGAGTCTTTCTCTCAGCCAAACAAATAACAGAAGAGCTCACGAACAAATCCAGATCTACATCTGTCGCATCCTCTCTTTAACGAATAGATATGGATTTGGCCAGAGGAGGTCCATTGTGATTCACAACTCAAACATATTTCTCTTTGTGGTTCTCTCCCTCTTTCTTGTCTCTCTGGTGTCCGTCCTGATATTCTTAATCTGATCATTTTTTCATTAGATTTTTTTTTTTGTGTTGGATCTTCGTATTTGAATGTTCAAGAGTTTTTGGCAAAAAAAATGTTTCAAGATAGTTCCTCCCATTTTTGATTCAAATATAAGATAGAATTGGATTTGCTAAGGGGTGTAATAGTTCAAACATATCACTTTAATGTTTTTAAATCATCTTTGTCAGTGGATCCCATGGAGATGTAAAATTGGTTTACCAAACATCGGTATGGATACATATCCAATCCGGATATGAGCTTGGTCGGGTTTGGTTTGGTTAGGCAAGGTTTATCTTTTTGATATCCTATCCAATTCACTCCGAGCATCCAAACACATCCTAAGTGTTGTCATGAATGCGTGAGAGAGAGAGAGAGACTTTTAAAAAAAAAAGACATACCGAACTGAGAAGTTTTAAATGTGAAGTTATATGTATTTTTCTTATTTTATTTTCTTTAAAAAAGTTATCATTTAATTACCATTATTCTAACTATTTCTTGCTCCNAACTACTAATAAAAGTATGAACTCTCTCATCTCCCTGTGTTACTAGCATAAATTAATACTGACTTAAGCATCAAAAGACTTATTTTTTGCTCTGCTCCACGACGAGAGACCTCTAACCATTTGTCGATCTTGCAACTCTCGGACGGATTGATATTTACAAATAAAGGGATGAACCACAACATTTTTATAATTGGTTCAAGTTCAACTGGTACAAAATTTCCCACTTGCAACTCTTATTTCTTCAAGAACTCAGCTCAAAGACCAAAAAAAAAATATAATTGGGCTGCAATGTTTGTAGTGGGACATCATTTGATTCAATCATGATTAGACATATAATACAATTATGTCCACCTCTAATCATGGGCTTCGAGGAAAGCAGAAACACACCTTCTAGACCACGCTATACATATTTTTTTCTCTTTCTTAATTTTTTCTTCAAACTTAATCATCATTCTCCTTAGTTTTTATTTATTATTATTTTTAAAAACTTAATCATCATTCTTTTTCTTTCTTTCTTTCTTCCATTATCTTTTTATTTTTTAATTCTATCAAATTCTATTATTAATTCAAGAATTGGACCCAACAACAGTATTTATAACTTTTCCATGAGCATCAGCACTAATGATATAATTAGGACTCTATAATCAAATATTTACCATGTGGTGTAATCGTCTAATGATAACTACTTAAATAAAAAAAATAGACCCCACTTATTCAAATAATTATCCGTCCATGTAAAATACTAATCATCTATGTTAAAAAAATGAGGTCACATTGTTCACTTGTTTATTTAATATTAGATAATTATATCACATGACAATGATAACATGGTGTAACTGTTACACCGAATATTTACTTCTATACAGGGAACCAATACTTGGGGCCACACATTCATAGCAACCCCATATTGATCCACACATAAATAACTAAGGTGCACTAAATAGAATAAAATCTAATCAAAATGGAAACATGTAATTTAATTCTTGAAATAGGTGTAGAAATAAATGAAAGGACTTAATTGAAACGGAATTGATAGTAAAGAAACAAAATTGTAACAATTAAAAGTTCAGAGACAAAATTGAAACTAAAAATAAAATTTAGGGACCAATTATAATATTTATCCTTAATAATATTATCGTAAACTAAATATGACACGGTAACGAATATGACCATTTGTGCTAAATATAATCCATGATACAAATACATGTGTATTTGTTAAAAAAAATTGTTACCTTTTTATATTTTTTGCAATACAAAACTAGTTATTATTGAATTCGTGTAACTTGATACGAATTATTTGTTACAAATATTCGACGAGTCATGCAAGTAATATCATCAATATAAATAAACTAGTCAAGTTAGGTTTAGAGATTTTTTCAAAATTATACATTAGTCGTGTTAGTTTATTTGATTTTTTATGTGTAATTTTAACACGATATAAACTACACGATTGTCGGTGCTAATCCTCATCAGATATTTGAAAGAGAAAAATGTTATTTGGACTTAAAAATATGACATAATTTGTTGACCTAATAACGTGACTTCATTGAAACTATTTGATTAATACCAAGTTTTAATGTTTGATAGAGTCCACAATCAATTCAAAGATCATAATAAATTAAATCAACAAATTAAATTAGTAAATTAGGTCCTAAAAACATCGAAAGAAAGAAAGGGAGGGAGGAGACAATACGATAATTTAGTAAAATGTAGCATCATCTTGAGTTAGGTGAAGTGCGGTCCCTCCTCTACTTTCCTAGTAGTGTCTTCCACTAACAACTCTAGAAAGCTAAATACTTCATAAAGTCTCTTCACGGTGGAAAGAAAGAAGAACATCCACAAAGGAAAAATGGAAACAAGCTTCATCAAGCTTCCCCTCCCCATCTTCTATTTCCTACTTCTCATCCTGTGTCTCTGCAGCGAACCCTTCTGGGCAAGCCATGCACATGCACATGCCCACACGCCATGCAACGGATCAATCGCGGAGTGTGAGGAAGCCGTGGAGAATTTGATGGAGTCGGAGATTAGTCGGAGGTTTCTTGAACAGAGGAGTGGAGGAGGTGGTGAAGCTTATTCGAAAAGTGAAGGGTGTCTCCCTCCCCAGTCTAACCCTTATAATAGAGGCTGTTCCAAGTATTATCGTTGTAGGTGTGATTCATGATCATAATCTCTCTTTATGTTCATCACATGTGCTCTTATATTTGTATTTTGCTCTCTCTCTCTCTCTCTCTCTCTCTCATGAAGTTACAATTCAATCTGATCTAATTATACCAAAATGGGATTGTTTTAATATCATTCCTAAATGGGAGATCACCTGATTTCGAAATGAATCAAAGCCTTGGATAATAAAAAAGAGTTAGATTATGTATTTCCAACGAGACAGTGGGAAATAAAGACCCAAATCCAAACAGGGACGCAACCCAAATCCTAGATACTTCAATATGACATACTCAACTCAACAAAGCATTATCCCAATGTTTTTGGGGTCGACTATGTGTCAATATGACATAAAATTGAAATACAAAGAAAAATGGTTATTCCAAAATTCGATTAACCATCAAAGTAACTCATAACATAACCACATGAACCATGATCCACTAACTCTGAATCTGAATCAGTAGAAAAAAACTGTTTTGGAGATATGTGATCTGATCATGGAACCAGTACATCCATTCTTGTACACAAGAAAGTAACACAAGCTGAAGATTTCTCCAAAAGCATATCTTAAAGATGATTGACTACAATTATATTGGACATAAACCAGTTTTATGGTGAGAAAATCTACTTATATGAAAGTTTCAAAACCTCTCGAACGTTAGAGGAGCCATCTGCAACTTCAGTAATTGGGCTAGCAGCCATAACACCTGTAAAATGTGGATCATGTACTCAAACACCATATAAAACTTGCAAGCATACTTCACACACCATGCATGCCTCATGGCTTACCTCAAGACTTGCCTCAGACGAAATCAAGCACCGAGCTTGGAGGGAATTTTGCCATTGGGCTGGGGACCAAGGTGGAGCAAGAAAGATGCAAGATGGAGAATGTATAACAGTTTTTGCACCTCAATGAGGCTAACAGGATAGGAGTCCAGAATGCTTATGCCCTACAACCAGGGATGGCAATTTTTCTACAACCCACAGCCATTTTTAAGGATATGGGTTGTGATTTTTAACCCATTTAACCAAAATGGGCCGGTTCCAAATTTGACTTGTTGAAACCCAAAACAAAAAGTCTGGCTAGGTACAGACCAGGCAAATAGGTGTTTATAAATGGATAGGAATGGGGTTCGGGTTTGGTATTGGCCACTATTTTATTCTTTTATAAAAACAAAAATGTTATATTAATGCATAATAGTCACTCTATTTGCTTTAGAAAAATATTTTTATTTGTATTTGTATAAAAATTAAAACGGCTGGGTTCAGACAATGCACATGTGTTGGTATGAGAACCCAACCCACCTATTTGACATCCTTGGCAAGCAGAGGCCTGCTCATCTTTTGCAGAATCATGTTTCATGGTCGTGGAGCTCAACTATGAGCAGCTCTCTTTCTCTTTGATTGAAAAATCAGATTTTGTTGAGCAACAATGTAATTATAAAGAGGGAAGACAGAAAATAGAAAAGACCTCTAAGGTAATTAATAAATTATTTTGACCCTATTCCAAAACTACATGTACATGCTTTTGGGCATAAACACAAACATGGATGGCTTATGCCTTTGCCTTGCGGCTTGCACGCCTCCCCATAGGCATAAATGTGTTGTCACACTAACCATCTTAAAAGTTTGACTAAGAAATCTCCACTGGGGACGACAAAATTAGTAGTTAACTATGTATTGTTGCTTTACCGTGTATTGCATTTTACCATGAATTTGACCTCAGGGTCATAGATTATGTAGCTTATTAAATGTGGATAAGCAACATCTATATCTCCGACACCAACAATATTGATGACTATACACTACATGGCAGCAATAATCATCTTCTAAAAACAAGACATAAGCAGAGAAGATAAACGAAATTAACTACGACTAGCTAGTCTACTTTCATGCATCAACATGGTTTTGGATGCAATTAAAGCCAAAAGAAGCAGAAACTTTCAAGATATGCAAATATGACAAAAATCAAAAGAGGTGTAGCTCACCATCTTTCTCTACCACAGATAGGAACCGCCTAGATCCCCCTCCTACTCCAAAATAATGCTTCTTTGCTGCCATGTATATGACTCCATGAGGGCGACTCATGCACTGAAAAAGATAATGTTGAAATTCAACACGAGAATAATTTTTGAATTCACCCACCAAGAAGTATAGCAAATAGAAAAACTAGACAACAGGAACAGGTACCTTCTTTATAAGTTTATAGAGGCTAGGGAGAGCAGAGATTGAGTAAACTGTCTCTGCCATAAAAATAATATCATAGCCAGCAGATTGATCCGGCCCTGGACTATAATTTGTGTCCTTTCCATTTGTAACTATATGAGGGAGAATTTGATGGACTTCACTCCAGTCACCAGCAAAAAAACGGAGTTCTGCTTGATCTGCCACATCTGTAGCCAAATTTTGAGACTTCTTTAGACAATTAGCATTCACATTGGGAATAGTCAGACATTCGAGGACCTCGGCATTAAAATCCTGGAAATGAATGACAGCGGCACCCTGATACAACAAAACAGACGGTAAATACACCAAACAGTTTANCGAGGACCTCGGCATTAAAATCCTGGAAATGAATGACAGCGGCACCCTGATACAACAAAACAGACGGTAAATACACCAAACAGTTTAAAGCACATCATGATTGAAGTCTTACAGATTGATTGTTCTAGAAATGCACATATACCTTAAGGCAAGCAAAAATCCCAGGAAGTCCATGACCACATCCAAGCTGAAAACCATTAGAGTGGGAATGAGAAGAGAAAAATAGTGGAGACATTCTCCATACATCCAGACTTCTGCAGTCATGTCGAGGGTGTATTTCAAACATATATACACACATCACACTTACCTATTGCATACATACAAACTTACTTCTCTAAGGACAACATAAATTCTTTATCACCGTATTACTCTAGTGATTATTCATTTTGAGAATCAACTCCCTACCATGGATGTCAAATCTCTATACTTTTAACCCAAATACAAATGTCAAAATGTTGTATCATAAGTTTTGATTAATAAAGTTTAAACTTTTAAAATTCAAAAAATTATTTCACCACTGCAGTAACTATAATTGGAGGGCAGGCAAATCAATCTTCACTGACATGATGAAGTCACAAATTAGTTCCACCTCATTTCTAAAGAGAAAAAATGATTAGTTCCACTTTCCTGACCAAATGCCACAAGCCTTCCTTCTCTGATGGGAAGTGTACATGGAGTTGTTCAAGTCATTTATTCCTGATTTGTAGAAATCTAGTGCATCAAGTACTCAGGTCAATTTGAATGATAAAACTTGTTGGCCATCTAGTTACTAGTCATTTTTGCCATGGTGCCCATACAGTCACATTCTTGTCAAAGAAAAGTTCTCTACTATTTAAACCTAGATGTTCTTCTTTGCTGATATAGTTTCTTATTAGGAACTTTCCAATCTTTGACCTACATTTCCTTGAGGTTATGGCTATATAAATTAATTTAGTCCGACCCAGTTTTGGCTTAAAAAAAGAACCCAACCCAAATCAGTCCAGTAAATTAGAGCTGACTATATGTTTTATAAATGAAGGCCCAACCCATAAGCCCTTATTCATACGGCGTTGGCTGGGTAAACTAAGACATCTTTGGTTCCACGCCACTCTTCTGTTTTCTCTTCCTCGTTCCTAAAACGTTCGTCCACTGTTGTCTCTTGCTCGTTGCAGAGATGGCCAGAGACTCAATTAATAACTATTGTACAACATTTTGATTAGTTTGGATTTTTCTTAAATAGTTCTACCTTTACACCAACTTTAACCTTTTGCCATCAAACCTCATTGATTCTCAACCAAGTCCACCGACAAGCATTAGTGATTTTGCCATCTAAGACATAAAAACTCCACTTATTTGAGCCATATCTNCATCAAACCTCATTGATTCTCAACCAAGTCCACCGACAAGCATTAGTGATTTTGCCATCTAAGACATAAAAACTCCACTTATTTGAGCCATATCTAACCACAAAAGTCATTGTAAAAACAGTATTCTGAGATACCAAGAACCATCCTACAGGATTGTACTTTCCTCAGCCTCTATGTTTAAGATTTTGAATCAGTCCACCATTAGATCACATATCAATAGCACCAGTGTTATTTAAGGTGTAAAGTGAACCGAAGCGACCAAGGCTCCTAACCCCTAGGCGAGAAGCAAAGAGAAACGCTTTATCGAAACAAAGCGAATAATTAAAAAAAATAAATAAATATTTTAATTTAATTACTTACACATTTAAGTTCTAATTTTATATATACTAAATATTTAAATGTAAATAAAACCATAAACATTTAAATTAAAACAAACACTGAGAAGCAAAAATCAGCATTATGCATTACAACATTTAGCAAAAATTAGAACTATGCATTACAACATTCAGCAAAAATTAGCACTATGCATTACAACATTCAGCAAAAATCAACACTATGCATTGCAGCATTCAGAAGAACCAGCAACATTAAAATCAGCTATATAAACATTAAAGAAACAGCAGCATTCATTATCAAAGAAGAAGGAAAAAAAAAACAGAAAGCAAAAAAAAAACCAATTAGAATGTCTGGGAAAGAGTAGTAGCACCAGAAAGAAGAAAAAAAAAATAGAAGCAAAGAAACGAAAAAAAAAGCAGCAGCAACAGAAAGAAGAAAAAAAAATAGAAGCAAAAAAACGAGACAAGAAAAGCAGCAGTAGCAGTAGAGAGAAGAAGAAGCAGGAAAAAAATAAAAGAAGAAGCAGGAAAAAAACGAAGAAGCAGCAGCAGAAAGAAGGTGCAAAAAGAGGAAGAAAAAGAAGAAAAAAAACAGAAAGAAGAAGCAGAAGAAAAAAAAAAGAAGCAAAAAAAAAAATCAAAATCAGAAAGAAGAAGCAAAGAGGAAGGAGAAATACAGAAGAGAAAAAAAAAAGAGGAGACAAACCTGGAACAGCAGCAGCGATTGTCTGGGAAGGAGCAACAGTAACAGCGATTGACTGGGAAGATCAACACTATCGATTGTTTGGGAAGGAGGAGCTACATCAGCGATCGACTGGGAAGATCTACACTATCAATTGCCTAGGAAGGAACAGCAGCAGCAGCAATGACTAGGAAGGAGCAGCAGCAGTGATCGTCGGGGAAGCAAAGCAGCAGCGATGGTTTGATCAAAAAATTAGGGTTGGGTTTTATATTTATGGGATAAGGGGGTAATTGCGTGTATTGGCATCTTATAATTTTTTTTCCAATTGCCCCAATCCAACGGTCCACAATAAAAATAAAACAATCCAACGGTGCACAGTAAAAATAAAAAACTATTTCGTCTTGCATGATTAAGGCGTTCACTTTTTCGCCTTTCGTTTAAGTGAAAAGCGCTTGTTTTTCTCGCTTCTGCCATCTTTGCTTTGCCTGGTGTGCTCAAGACGAGAGGCCTTCCCTTCGCCTCGCTTCTCACCTAGACAAGTGCCTAGGCGCGTTTTTCAAAATACTAAATAACACAAGGGTGTCCATTGACAGAACAAACACTTTACATTTGAAGTACAAACAAGAAAACAATGATCAAAATTTTGTTTCGAAAGATTCCAAACAACCGAAATATTTTCATATCCGAGGGGACCGAAATTGAATTGAAATTTTATTGCCTCAAGTTGTTTCAGAATATTATAAGGTGTTTCGAGGTGGCATGTTTTGAAATGTTTCGAGATGTTTGAAGATATTTTGGTACATTTTTACCAATGTTTCGCAATGTTTTAGAAATAAATTCCTAATTTGTATCCGTTTTCTAGATAACCAAAACCATGCACTAAAAAGAAATTTTGATCTTGGCATAGAACCTTAAACAATGTCCCCATTGAATAGCCATGAGCTCCCCTAGAGATTCATTACAACCATCACCCTTTCCATTTAGTATTAGGTATTTTTAATCTTTCGTGCTACAACTGCAGCATTTTGGTAAACCTACATCCCATGACATCTCCTAAATGCTTCCTTTTCTTGTAATCCATTCCGACTCAGCCAACAACAAAGAAAAAATTGTTTCAATCAGTTAGACTAAAACAAAATGAGGGAATTTTTAAAAAAAAAAATAGAAATCATCCATTTATTTGAAACAGTGTTATTTAAGGCATAAAGCAAACCGAAGCAACCAAGGCTCCTAAAGCCTAGGCAAGAAGTGAGAAGCGAAGTAAAATGTTTTACCGAAACAAAGTGAAATGCTTTACCAAAGCGAAGCGAACAGTTAACAAAAAAAGAAATATTTTAGTTTAATTACTTCTAAACATCCAAATTCTAATTTTATATATACTAAATATTTAAATGCAAGTAAAACCATAAACATTTAAATTAAAAAAAAAACATTAATAAGGTGTTGTATTATTGTTAAAGTATATCAACCACAGCTGTTTTTGTAAATCTATTTTTATGTACAGTAGTGGAATTGTACACATATACTAAATCACATTTCATAACAGAGTTGTAAACAATTTCATATTGACTGGTGTTCAAGCTTGGATAATCAAACAAAGAGTGACTATATGATAGAATAGCACTATCAGAATAGCAAAATTAGCACTATCAGAACAACAAAACAATAGAAGCTGAATCAAAAAAAAAAAAAACAGAAGCAGAAAAAAAATCTCAACATCAAACAATCAGTAGAAGCAGAAAAAAAAAAAAAGAACCAGAACTAGAAGAGAGAAAAAGAACTAGAGAATAAGCAGAGAAACAGAAGAGAGAAAAGAAGAAGAACCAGAGAAGAAGAGGAGAAATAGAAGAGAAAAGAAAAAGAGAAGGAGACTAACTTGTGTGTCTGACCAGCAGTGTCGTCATCAGTAGTAGTCGTCGTCGTCTATGTCCAGCGAGGAAGGAGCAGCAGAAGCCAGCAATCGTTTCTAATCATTTGAGCAAAATTAAGGTTTGAGGGTTGTATTTATGGGATAAGGGGATAAATTATGCGTATGGACATCTTATAATTTTTTTTCTAATTGTCCAATTCAACGGTCCATAATAAAAATAAAACAATCCAAGACAATTTTGCCTCGCATGACTAAGGCGCTCGCTTTCTCACCTTTTGCTTAAGCACAAGACGCTCGCTTTTCTTACTTTTTTCTCGCTTCAAGTCTGGGGTGCTCAAGACGAGAGACCCTCGCTTCGCTTCGCTTCTCGCCTAGGCGAGTTTTTCAAAACACTGATTTGAAGCATTTCCTTGTTTGAATTCTAGTAAATCACAACCTTCTAGGATGACTGAATCAAGAGCAGCATTAACGCAGAGAAGACGAGTCCAAGAATGAAAGGCTCAAAGAAACACTTAAAAGAGTTTTGTGGGAAAGTAGGCTTGCAAATGGTGCGATATAGGCGTAGGGGTGGTGAAGTGATGCTTTGTTCTGCAACTAAGCTTTACTCCATGCTATGTGGTACAAATTGTGAAGGTTATTTTAGGATCGCAGATCAATAGTGATTCTGTTAAAGGTCTACAGCGACTCATCGCCAGCTGAGAAGAGAAAGCTAGCTGCCATACGTTTGGCATTATCTTTGCATAATATGCATTCAAGCACATTAATATTTAAAGGATTCGACAAAAATATTTTTAAAAATTTTGTTTGATCAAACCATTTACTTTGAATTTCTCTTCTAATGCATATCTGCTCACCTTCTAGAACTCTGCAAGTTATTGCAGCAAGACCCAATCCTACATTTCAAAAACCGATCCAATTGGAGACCTTCCCAACATCAAACATCATTAACTTAACTCAGTTTTGACAAGTGCAAATCATACTTAACATAAAGCCTCCATTGATAAAAAAAGTTCAAGCTTAATCATGATCTTTGTACACATTTACTTTTACGTGACACTACATATCCTATCAAAAACATCATGATCCTAGACAGCTGAATCAACATCTCAGCGCAAGGAAACTGGCTCCAAATAATGACTTTACTAAAACATAGGTAACCATACAGGTAACTGAATCTTTACAGAGATAACAGACGAGATAAATCCTACTCGTATTGCATAACTATAATATCAACAGAAAACTTTTGGCAATTGCTGAACAGGTTAGCCAGATAGAGCTAGTATGCAAGTACACAAAGGAGGTCAAAGACAAACAGCAGTGAGAATTTAACATGTTGTATCAACAAATTTGTGCCTAAATGAATCACAAAATACCTCAATTGTACAGTCCCACCTCTAAAACTCGCTTTCCAGTAAATGATAATTGCCCAACTTGGACTTCTGAGCAAAGACTTTTAACTAAATCTAGTGAACCTTCCCACAGTTTCAGTCCACCTGCGGCAAAAAAAAAACCCTTTTAATATGCGCATTCATGTTCAATCTACATCAATTCAGTAACAAACTTTCTTCTCATTTTCCAAGCAAATTTTAACATACCTTCATATTTTCCCGGAACTAAATCTGAGTTGGACAGTGAAAAAACCTCTTGAGTACTCACTCGTCCCTAAAGAAAATGCCACATTTAGTTTAAGTTAATCAACCTAGAATTACTGAAACCCATACATTCTCGATTTTACAAAAGAATCATCTGTTTGGTTGCCAAGAACATTACTTATCTCTGATTTTTACTGTCGAAATAAAACAAATTATACAACCATATGGATAGATTAAGATGGGTCTTCATCAGTTTTAAAGCCAAAGCAACATGACCCATAAAATACAAAACTTTCACCTGTTCTCATTCACTTTCCTGTGCTTTCTCAGCATCCAAACAATAGGTTTCAGATAATAATTACCTTGAGCAAAATAAGCCCATCTAAACTCACGGGCTCTACAGTGTATTTCACAGATGATGAAACCTATGCCACATCAAAAGAGCCAATTAGAACACATATACATATATTCTTTCCATGCATATATGAGTTACTCTGTGTGTATTTGTATGATACCTCTGAGGGAAATACTTCAAGGCAAGGTGGTGGAAGAGGGAGAGGCTTTTCTGGGGAATCGAGAAACCCTAATCCAGAACGAGCTTTGTCATCTGATGAAGAGAAGAGACGAAATGTTTGGATTTCTGATGGCTTTGCCTCCATTGCTCACTTCTCTCTGAGCTTCAGTGTTCGGTTCCAGAGGCCAGAGAACAAGTCTTATGGGTCATTTGGGTTTTGGGTTGCTATTAAATTGGGCCTGACTCGACTCGACGGCCCGTGAGGTTTTTGAACGTGAAAATTGGATTGACTCCTGAAAGACTTACAATGAGCTTACTCCATAAGAAAATTTATGAAAAAATTGTGAAAATATACACCATAAGTTATTTATCGGGAAATTTGGAGGTCGATCCTCTTATATAGACTTATTAGTTATTGTCTGTGCCTGAAGACACAGAGTAATAAAAAATAGTAAAAAATAAATATATTTGTATTTATATTCAAAATCAAATCACAAACATAGAGAAAAGATAAATGAATTTAAGCATCGATTTGTAGTGGCAGTGAGAGGTGGTGGGCGACAATGGTGGTGATAGGAGACGGTCATGGTTGTGGTGGATGGCAATGACTTTGGCAGTGGTGGCGGCGATGATGGTGGCAATGGCGGCGGCAACGGTGGTGGTGGTGGTGGTGTTGGGGATGGTGGTGGTAGAAATAGTGGTAAGACGGTTTCAAACACTATTTTTTTCTTAAAGTATTTATGATAAATAATTTTTAGAAATATTTTAAAAAAGTTATTTCAAATACACTCTTAGGAACCTATTTTTCCTATTAAATTTAGAGTGTTAATATTAGTCGTTAGATTAACTTTAAATTAAAATTTAAAGCGATCTCAACTGCGAATAACAAAAGTCATTTTGTTTATCTTTTGAGATTTGAATTGTACGCTATTTTATTATATACTAGTTATTGTCTATGTCTGAAGTCACAAATCAATAAAAAATGGTAAATAATAAATATAGTTATATTCATATTCAAAATCAAATCACAAACATAGAAAAAAGAAAAATTAATTTAAGTATTAGTTGTAGTGGGGGTGAGAGGTGGTGGACAATAGTGGTAGTGGTAGAGACGGTAATGGTTGTAGTGAGCGGCAATGACCGTGGTGGTGACGATGGTGGTGGTGGTGGTGGTGCTAGTATTGGTGATGATAGGGGTGGGGGTGGCGGCGACGGCGGTGGTGGCGACAGTAATAGTGGTAGCGGCGACGGTAAAAATACTGGTAAGGCGGTTTCAAACACTATTTTTTTTTAAAAATACTTATGAGAAATAATTTCTAAAAATATTTTTACAAAGTCACTTCAAACACACCATTAAGAGTCTATTTTTTTTTATTAAATTTAGGGTGTTAATATTAGCCGTTAAATTAATTTTAAAGTAAAATTTAAAGCGATCTCAACCGCGAATAACAAAAATCATTTTATTTATTTTTTGAGATTTAAATTGTAAGCTACTTTATTTTATATATATATTTGGAGATAAGTTCAGTAAGAAAACTCATTTGATTTTAAGTCTATTTTTTGTCAAGTTTACTATTATACCCTATCTATTAGAAAAATAATAATCGACGTTTGACTTACCGTCTCTTTCAATCAGATCATTGAGGTATATATGACTTTATTAAGTTATATATGAAATTCGTTTATTAAATATTTTGATAATTAAAGGAGGTTTATATGAGAATTATATATTTTAACAGTTATATATAATGTTAAATATGGAAGCTTGACGTATTTGGGAACACTCGTATCAAAACTCTGAGCTATAATGTGCACAGCAATTATAGCACAGCAAGATTATAATCTTTCTGTGATACAGTCTTGCTAGTTTTCTGTAAGAGGATGATGGAGAGAGAATCTTCGAACGAAGATGAAGATGAAGAGAACCTAATCGACCAAAATGAAAGACCAGGTAAGTCTCCCCCCAAACACTCGACTTTCCACGTTGACGATTTCAAAAACAGGATCACCGGAAANGAACGAAGATGAAGATGAAGAGAACCTAATCGACCAAAATGAAAGACCAGGTAAGTCTCCCCCCAAACACTCGACTTTCCACGTTGACGATTTCAAAAACAGGATCACCGGAAACCGTCGGTTTAGCTCCAATAAGAGGTTTCTTTTTGCCATTTTTCTCCCACTTTTCATCATCATAGTTTACTTCTCCACTGACATTAAAAATCTATCCAAACCAGAGTTTCCGACCTCAAATTCGATGCTTCCATAAATCGCATGCGCGAGTCCGAATTACGCGCTTTGTATTTGCTGAGAGAACAGCAATTAGGGCTTTTCAATTTATGGAATCATACATTTGCTACCCAATCAA